AATCAATTTATTACTTTCTTCCTGGCATTTATCTAGGCTGCAGAGAGGTCTGAGAGTTAAGATTTCACCATATTTTTATTTATAAATGATATTTTGTAAATGACAAAATGATTCTCTCTCTGTTTCTCTTTCTCTCCTACCTATGATCGGATATATTCAACTGATTAACATATGTTTCCCTAAGATTTGTAAGCAGTATAGTCTTGAGGATGCCACAGACCTTATTTGAGAAGGATACTCAGGGCAAGGACTAATAGCTCCTTATGATGTTCCTTTGCAGTGAGTATGGTCTTTCTTAGGTAAAAATTTTGGGGTTTGTAGCCAGACTGGACAGATTAGGAAACTAGAGCAACAGCTCTAACAGTAGCTGGGGAATCAGTTAACACTGTGTCATCTGTGTTCTGAAATGGAATGCGATTAGGAAGGGAAAACAGGGTCCCCCAAGTTTTGATGGGTACAGTATACGCCATGTGATTTTTTTTCAGGTGTTGTCTCATCAAATAACAGGACAGGAGGCCGATTTCCCCATGTCCTAATTCTCAGCCACATGGAATGTCCAGTACAGTACTGCAGCAAACTTAAAAAAACTGTAAGTTACTGAGGTGGTATTTGGGGTGGAAGGATAGGGACAGATCACTGTTCATTACAAACTACAGGGAACACAGTGGGAAAGTTGGGGTTCATGGAGATGGGTGGCTTGAAAAGCTGAACACATAGCACAACTATCCAGGAGGCCTCTGGAAGGTAGCTATGCTCAGTGCTATACCACCAGGGCTAGAAGGCCGTTTAAAATGCAGAGAAGACAATCCTATCTTGAGCTTCTAAATTGGAAGCTATGAGATGGCCCCAAGTTCTGACATTTTTAACAAGTTGCCTGGTGCTATGGTCCAAGAACCATAATTTAAAAATAATTGCTTTAACCTGATCAGAGACAATCTGAGTTATGACACTAAATGACATTAAATATGACTTGGATAAGTGAATGTGATGATCTTCAGGGGGGAAATGTCAAAATTAATCACCTATGGAAGATCTAGTCTTGGTAATTGTCTTAGTGCAGAGATGCTGCTCGTTGGGCTTCTCTGGATATTCTGGGTCTTGGAGTACAGCTGAACTCTCTACTTCCATTTTGACCTCAGAAAAATCATAGAAAGAAACTGATGCTCTCGAATGGACTAATAGTGATTCTTGAGTTTGAAAACAGAGCAAATATTGAGATGAGAAATGATAGTAAGGGAGGAAACTCAAAGACCAGCCACAATAAAATAGAACCTAATATCAAGGTCAGTTTTGAGTAATCTTTGGGGCATTGCAAAGGCTGAAGGAATTTTCCCCAAACTGAGGAG